CACACACACACACACACACACACACACACACACACACACAGACTATCCCATGTTCCAATGCGTAAAACCATGTATCTGCCATTTTCTGTAGGAGACACAAAAAGTGAAAGCACGGCCAACTGGCTGACAGCAAAAAGCGGCCGGAAGAAACGCTGTCCATACACCAAGCATCAGACACTGGAGCTGGAGAAGGAGTTCCTCTTCAACATGTACCTGACCAGAGAGCGCCGCCTAGAGATCAGTAAAGGCGTCCACCTGACGGACAGACAAGTTAAAATCTGGTTCCAGAACCGCAGGATGAAACTGAAGAAAATGACGCGGGAAAACAGGATCCGGGAGCTCACCTCCAACTACGGATTTTCATGATGAACAAGGTGATCACATTGAAATAGAAGATCACTGGTGAAAGCAATGCCCCTCACCCTTTCTCACCACTCTGTCCACACATTGACTCATTTCAATGGGGTTTATTTCCAGACACGCTTAAGATGTATCGTCCTCTGTGAGCCAATGAGAATAAGAAAAGGGGCGAAAAAAGTGAACGTTATGAGTTCAATTTGATTGTTTTCCGATGTTGTGTTTTTGTATTGTTGAACTGTTTCTGTCACTTCTGTCGTTGGATAGTGTTGTCAGTGGACTTAAATTAACGCAATTAAAAAAAACCATTGTGCCCTGGAAGGTGGCTTAAAATGATCACTTCTCTCCCCACCGCTGACAAATATAATATCTTTAAATTTACACCAACAAATATGAAATAATTTTCTTTTAATTGGAATTGCATGAGATAAAGTTATCATAATAAAAACAATTTCAAACCACTGGGATATAATGCCCATGTATCACCAAGGGTAGAATAATTCACCTTTGACCATTAGATGTAGTCTACCATAATATAGGCCTTTTCTATGTATGAGCCAAATGTATGAGTTGAATCTTTAATCACGTTGAGGACGTTTACACGAGACCGGTGTGCAAAGTGTAGTTGGAATGTTTTTATTGTATATTTCTGTGTACATATGACAGTGTTTTTGTGTAATGCTTAATAAATTATCAGCTAGCATTGAGGAGTATCTGCTTGTATGTTTGTACTATGGGATTATATTCAGTCAAAGTGTATTCTACAAAATCACAAAAATAGATTTGTTGAAATCCCAAATCCCAAATAATACGCGCTCCATTGCTGGAGATTCAACAGTTTATTTTGTTGAACTGGCTAACAAATGTTCTGGAGGCTAATGTAATGGAGATCGGAAATAATTAAGATATTGGGCTATAAGCCGTCTAGCTGCATGCCCAGCCGGCTATTGTAGAGTTTTATGACTGCCTGCTATATGAGGTTTCTCCCTCTCCTCTAAGAGCAGCTTCAGTCGTGGGAGAGTCTTCCAGACTGAGAGGAGGCCCGGCTCTCAGCTAGAAATCCGAACTGTACAGATACACTGTGGATATGATCCATTACCTTCTGCTTTAGTTTTGGAATACTAGGATTTATATTTCGAGTATCGGGTAAGTCCATTTATCAATGTGGATTTGTCCTTTTTGTGCCTTGTTGCACCGGCTTCGTGTGTACAAAACAGTTGTACTTTCTCAATACAGACGATTTTTGGACACTTGGTGACGGGACTGATGACCACGTTGCATTACGAATTGGCTGATTGTGTTTCACTTGAGGCCCGGATCGACTGTCGAGTGGTTTAGGTAGTTTCATGTTGTTGGGGTCCATTTCTAACTCTGCAACATGAAACTGTCTTAATTGCCGCAGTTCCACACATCAAAACCAAAAGGGAAGCAAATCGGGGACATAACGATGATGGGATTTGATGAAAATTGTGTTTTGGAAGCATGTTCTAAAACTCCCTGGTTTATAAACCGAGGAAAGTTGACTGGCTATTGTGTAGGCTATATTCTTATCCTGTCTCCTGCAATGTTTTCTTTAGACTTCTCTACTTGAAATTCGTCGTTAAAATAAGCCCACGCCAATGTGTGCTGAATCTAAACGTGATCAAAGCAGAGCTGCAGTATGCGTCGTGGACTTGGGATTAGGGTTAAACCGTGAGTGTTTTCCGTGATAGCAGTGACGCAGACACGCCAGACAAGGCCTCGGTTACGACCACTGCAGTGGAGGGGAAGGGGAAGGTGAATTGGGCAACAGCGACCTCCGTGGGCAATGAGACCGGATGCTTCCGCTGCGCAATAGTGGCTCAGACAAAAGGAGGGGAAGGGCTTTATGGCGATATTTAGATCCGCCAGACAGGCTGTTATCTGCAGAGGCAAAAGAAGTGAATAGCCCCTGCGGTAAACTGGGTGAAAAAAACACCCTGATTTAGGTTTACAGCCTGAGAGCCATTGGCAAAGTGGCGTCTTTTCCTCCTCTGAAGGTGTTTGTCTATTCTAACTTGTAGTGCACAAATAGGAGGACAGCCGCTCCTTTGCCCCCTCGGCTTGTTTGATCTCTGCTGGCCAAATAAAGTGCAACTACCATTGAGGTGATAGCTTGCAACCAGAATGCACATTATGGACAGCTTGCGCCTTTGCTTCTCTACTAAATGCAATAGTAATGCAATAGTAAGAACTGAGTAGGGAGTATTCCTGCGTGTTGAATTGTCTGTGGCCTTGTGGGGTGTTGGCCAAGCCTTTCGTTTATTTGCTGGTGATAAATAAAAGCCGCAGCGTAATGTGTGAGAACTCAAGGTTGCTGTTTTGTAGACGTAATCTGCAATATGGAGTTAGGTTTAGGATATTGTGGACGCTTATAAGCATTTAGTAAAAAAATCTGCATTGAGATTCAGTTATTAATGCTTTCTGAAATATACATACATTCTCAATATTTTATTATTGTGATACAATGTTTTTAGCTAAATGCATGTGCCAGTTGACATATGAATTTTCCACAAATACAAAGTTAATATGTATGCATTCATTTAATTATGTTTTATGTTAACGCTTCTTGCGTGCGATGTCCTTAATATGAATTAATTCAATTGAATATGCGTGTTAGCATTTTATAATCTCAATCTCTAGTACTCATATTTTAAATATGCTCTTGTCTCCTGGTGCTCGCCACTGCTCGCACCATTTCGTTTTAAAAGGGGAAAACCACAAGCACCACATTACGCATATTCTTAGCTATATTACACCGAGGCACATGCCTGCAAGCAGGCATTGCAGTTAATTTGTTGTTGGCGGTGATGATGGCGACGTACAAGCCTATACAAATTATAACGGCTGTGTGAATAATAAACGCTTTAAACGGTGGGTTAAACTACGAGAAACTATGAGCCATTAATGGTATTTGGAAAATATTCAATAAATATTTGAGTATCACAAGTTAATTCTGTGGGTCAAAACTACATTTTCACCACATTTATTCCGTTTCCCTTAGTCATTTTAATTAATCGTATACTATATTTATATTTTCCATGTTGTGACAATTGAAACCCAACTATTGTTTCAGAATTAATATGTAGTCATAAGCTATCCCGTAAATGTTATTTTTTATTTTTTATTTTACGCCAGTTGTTTTACACCGTAATTATTGCCAAACGAACAAGACAAACTGCTTGGTTTTCTCTTTTGTTAATTTGATTGAAAATTTCTAAATAAAATCTTTCCCATTTTAAAGAAATAATGATGCTGATTGAGTTATTCTTCCGACTATGAGAAATGTACATAGATCTGCATTATCCTCGGTAAGACTGTAAGTAATGTGGATTATTAGATGTTAAAGCCACAACATATACGTGAAGTAGAATTTCAACTAAAAGCTAAATCACGAAATACGGTTATTGAAATATCAGCCCAGACACACATTATGCTTATATGTTTTAAACAGCATAGGTCCACAAACGAACTATCGTATTTAGAAATGTTAAACTGAAAATAACAGTCTTAGCCGCCTAATGTTAGATATTACCGCATATATTTTAGTGCGTCAGTCTGTACAATTGTTTAACGTGTGAAGCTGAAAAAAGGGAAGTATACGGACGTTAGAATATGTCTCACACAGCCGAAAAAGAACAAATAAAGAAAATGTAATTGTGGTTATTTGAGATCCAGACTTTGTTTCAGATTTGAGCTTCTTCAATATAGCGGTGGTTACAATGTGTTTTGGTGAACAGCAATGGCAGGGTGCTTACGTGTCCTATAAAGAACCTCGTAAAATAGGGCCTCCAAAAAACACACTGCATCATTTTGGATAACCAAATGTAATTTCATCAGCAGCAGTTGGCTAAGGTACTGTAAAACACCTTTTTCATTCAGTTATTCACATTTTCCGTCTAGCAGATCTAAATAATATCCTGGTAATTCTTAGCTTTAAAACTAAAGGTTGTTATAGGAAAACGGGTGAGTATTTAATGACCAAAGAGATTGATTTATCCTTTATTGTTCAGCCTTTATGATCACGTGTGTCTGCTACCCAATGGCATGGCAGCCTGTCTCCCCATTACAAGCCCACTGTAGTTCTCTGTGGGGCCAAGTTGCTACTTGATTTCTCCACATTGTTATTTTGTGAGGCTGGGTTTACTGCGTGTGTGTGTGTGTGTGGTGTGTGTGCACGTTTTACTTTTGCATGAATCTGCTGTATGACTGCTTACATGTGAACGTATAATTTTTCTGCCATGTCGACATCCGGAACATTGACTAGTTACTACGTCGATTCCCTCATTTTGCCCGAGAGCGAGGACCTCTCTGTGCCGAGATACACCTCCGGTCCTGGGCTGCAGCATTCCAGGCAGCCCGCCTCGATTAGCGACCACAGCGAGCTCGGAACCTGCACCTTCCCGTCCAAACCTCCGGTATTCGGGCCATCGTGGAGTCACGTCCCTGCTCAGTTCCCAGGCACCGTTTCTTCTGTGTATCACCATTATGGGCATCCTCAAGGTCCGGTCGGTGCAGATACAGATGGCCGCTATCAGTCATGGCTGCTGGAGCCGATGTCCGGTTCCCTGCCCATGGCCGGATTACCGACGAACCATCACTACGGAATCAAACCGGAGGGTCTTGCGACGCGAGCTGACGGCGCGCTGCCCGGCTCCCATACGGCGCTGCTGCTCTCTGATTACGCCAACGGGACGGTAGCGACGGCATCACCGGTGGAAAAGGACACACTGTCCGGCCAAGGAGGGGACACGAGCGGAGAAAGTGAAGAGAAACCGGGCCTTGATCCAAGTAAGTCGCTGCAGACCCCTCTATGTTTATAGTCTATTTATATCGCATAAAGCGGTGACTACTGGGGTGCGTGATGGGGGTGTGCGTCTGAACAGATGCCATTCTGAACGTGCCATTTCCTTATGGGGACTGTTAATGGCCCAGCTCCCATTGCTATATTAGATAACCTTTTGCAGCGTAAAGTGAACGTGAGCTAGGAGAAATAAGGGTAGGTTTTATTTTGATGTAGCCATTTTTTTTCTGATCAAAGGGGATATTATTTTGGTCTGAGCCAAATTATGAGTGATGTTTGTTTTTTTTGCATTTGGTCACCCCGGCACCGGCCCCTCACACCAATGTCGCACCCCACTCTTTCCAGATAACCCAGTGGCCAACTGGCTCCACGCGAGTGCCACGAGAAAAAAGCGCTGTCCGTACACCAAGCACCAGATCCTGGAGCTGGAGAAAGAGTTCCTCTTTAACACCTACCTGACCAGGGACCGTAGGTACGAGGTGGCGAGGCAGTTAAACCTCACCGAGAGACAGGTTAAAATCTGGTTCCAGAACCGCAGGATGAAGATGAAGAAGTTTAATAAAGACGGCGCACCGAAAGATATTGACTGAACCGTAGATATACAGAATTTAGCGAGCTTTGTGTGTGGAAGCTCTTAACCCTGCTGGACCTTGTTTTTAAACTCATTGTCTTATTGTTCTGTATAACAGAAGCTGTTAGGCTTATTTGTCTTGTAAAAAAAAGCATGTTGGGCTTCAGTTTGATGCGACTACCTTTATATTGCACAATTTGAAGGGTGCACACTCGTTTTGTATTTGTTCTTTTCTCTTGTTCATTTTATTAATACCTCGTTAAAGTGTATTAGTTGGCCTGGTCCCTTTGCTTGTTTGTGTATGGATGTTTCTAGCTGTGTGTGCTCTTGTTTGTAGTTATATTTGTTGTCTATCTCAGAGTCCCCTGAGCGTATAGTTTATAAAATGTATTAATTTAGCTGTTGTTTATCCCTTACTGCTAGAACTATGACTGATGACCATGAGTTTGAATCTAACGTTGGACCCGTATACCAGACCGATGGCATTTGGAAGTAGGTTCATAAACCTCATAAACCACTTGAAAATGCTAAAACACTAAATTAAAACATGTAATAGAAGCTATATCACACGACACGATTGACTAGCTAGGTCTTTCAACTACCTACAATAATATTATTTTTTTCGATTGCGGATTATAGATTTGCTTGCATTAGATGCTGAACTATGAATTTCAGGGAGTAACGTTTTCAAAGTACATAATGTTTGTTAGTGAGAGGGAAATAAATAAAACACTGTAGGCTACTTATTGAATACCTCACGGTCTGCTGACCGTCTGACTTTTGGTTGACAAATGTAATTTGTACTTTATTTATTAAATAAAACAAATTATAGGCCTGTCTGTGAATGTATGCACATTCTTATTACATTTTGGCCTGGCATCGAGATATTTTTATTCTTCTAAAATCTCAATTCGCGAATTATCGCTGCACAAAAAAAGTATTTTTATGGTGTTTTTTTGCACTGAAAAGAATATGAAGGTTACCGCCGTCAACAT